CCCAAAATATCAATCAAATAAAATGGTTTATATGCATAAACCATACCTTTTTGTCTATTTAGAAATCAAAAAAAAAATGGGGAACAAATGATAACTTGTTGTTTAGATGGGGTCTACAAAAATTTGAAATTTTAGACCAAATATGGTCTAAATTTTTGTTCGTTTAAGGGATATTTAGATGTCAAAAATGTGATAATTTAGACACCCATCTATAGTGATGATGTTTTATAATGTCAAATTATGAAGTCAAAAACCGCACCATATCCGACCAGATGCTAAGGTTGTGTGCTTTATTATTTGAAATTTGATATATTCTTCGTAAAGGGGTGGTGCATTGCATACCCCTGAATACCCTGGATTTATTCCCAAAAATATATAGATAAGTTTATACCCTTTTATTCTTTGATCAAATAATAAAGGATACAACCCCAAAATCCATCCGGATATGCTGTAAAATCATTTTGACAGTTTGCAGATCTAGTTGAAATATGGTTGGAATTGGTTTTTACTATGTAATTAATTGCCTCAAGTTGAAACATTTTGACTTTGAGGATTTGATTTTGACTTCATGTATAGTTAAACATAATACAGGATCATTTACCTTGTTATGTCAATTAATAAAAATAAAGATAAATATATTTAAATCATAAATTATGTCTTGGATGTGGTTTTTTTTTATGGGCAAGAATTATGGCAATCATTAATTGAAAGTGAAACCGTTTCTACTAATTCGACTGTTTTACTTTGAGCATAGTGGAAGTTTGTTGTTACACAAAATGTTATACAGAACTCATTGCTCCTGAGATTTCACCAGTACAGTTCACTCTCTCTATAACGGCCCCCTCTGTAACGGCCTCCATTCTATAACGGCCAGCCTTTGGAAATTCTCTTGTATGTTTTATATGTTGTCTATAACGGCTGACGATCATGATCTGAGGTAATCATTACCAATTTAAGAAATTGAGTGTGTCACTCAATTATTAATATTAATAATTTGAACGCGCTTATTGTCACAATACTCCCACTCATTCTATTTCTGAATTCAACAAATTTAACTAATGTAAGAGTTTACTTCTTACCACCAAACACAACAATGTGATGCCGGGATAATTAACAGCTTCAAGGTGAACTACAAAAAACTTTTCTTGCAAAAAAAAATTAGTGATTATGAAGAAGAGAGAAATGGTCAAGAATATGGAAAAATTTCAATTAAAACATGCAATTAAATTTCCAGCAAAAGCTTGGAAAAAAGTTACCAGTAAAACTATAGTTAACTGCTGAAAAAAAAACTGGTATCTTACCTGATTATGATATTAATTCCAATGAAATTGAAAATATGTCATCAATTTTAAATTTATTGAATGTAAGAGAGCTCAATGATTTGCAAAATTTGATTGATGAACTTTGCACTTCCTAATCCTATATCTGCGTCTGAATACATTGAAATTGATGACTCATGTGTAAGTGAAGAAAAAATCTAAATGACATAGTTACCAATAATTAATCCACCAGAGAAAAATGAAAGCCAGGAAGAAATAATCGAAGAACTTCCACCTGTTACAAATAAAGAGGCCTTGTCAGCAATAAAAACATTAGAAATTTACATTGACCAACAAACAATCAGAATTAAATGAGGATAATTTTAAATTATTGAAAAGAAAAATTAAAAAAATTGATTTTAACTCACAACAACAATCCACACTAGATGGCTTTTTTAATATTGAATAAGTATGCAAATTATAAATAGTTTACTTTCATTTATTTCATTTATTTTTTAAATATATTTTATCGTACAAAATAAAAATCTTTATATTGTATCACATTATGACTATGATCTGCAAACTCTCTATAACGGCATTTTTTTGCCAAATCAGGCGGGCCGTTATAGAGAGAGTGAACTGTATATAGTTGTTATCTCTCTAAATTGCAGATCAAGTTCAGATCCCAATTCAAATCCAGTTTATCACTTACTTTTGATTGCTAGAATGTTTGCCGTGTATTGTAAAGTTACGTTGCACAATATAAAAAATTAGTGTAACATTTCAAATTTCTTATATATGCTTTTACTGTGCGCACTATTAAAAAATTCAGTTCCAGTATTAATATGACAATGACGTGTCATACTCTACCCTTAAATAGTTGTTAAAAAAAAATTTTTTTTTAGAATTTATTTTTAATTAAACTAAACTTTTAAAAATGTCATCTCAATTATATTATAAATTTAAAAGTGCTAAGGACTATGACTCTATTACTTTCGATGGCTTAGGAATATCAGTATTTGATGTAAAAAAAGAAATATTAATTGCTAAAAAATTAAAGGGAAATGATTTTGATCTCGTGATCTCCCATGCCGAATCCAGTGAAGGTATTCACTACTTCACTCAATCAATTATCAACTTAATTCACATGTTTATTGTTCTCATTTAAATGAGTTGCAAAAATTTTTTTTTTTTTAAATAATAGAATATTCCGATGATAATGCGATAATACCAAGAAATACACCAATAGTGGTTCGTCGTGTGCCTACCAAACCAGGAAAAGGTACAGCAAATCGTTATTTGGAAGGAGCGCCAGTTACTCAAAGAAATTATATGAATGTTAATAGAAGTGGAAATAATGCAACTAATGGGTAATTTATTTTATTTTATTTTATTTAAATAATTGACAGGGATTGAGATCGAATGAACGTACATACGTATATTTTTATCCATATATATATGTCAAAAATTTTTTGTATATAGATCAATGTCAAAAATATTTGAACCTCCAAATCAAACACATCATCTTTCTCCTTACTCAACACCTACTCCTATTACAACAACTCAAGACTCAACTGAACAATCAGAAGAAGATAAAATAGCAACTATGTTTAAACAGACTAGTGAATTCTGGGAAAAAACTCAAGAACAAATGGCCTCGTAAGTATATCTAAAAGAAATAATGTTGTAGTTATTATAATAATGTTAACTAAATTATTTCTAAATTATGACAATTCATAGAAAACCAGCTCTTAGAAGATCTAATCAACCCCGTATTCAAATAAAGCCACAAATACAAAAACCTTTGCCACCAAATTACGTATGCTACAGGTGTGGTCAAAAAGGTAAAATATAAGAATTTATTGTTGTTTTATATTCTGTGAATACTTTTTTTTCCCTTGCTAACTCACTCTATCTTTATTTAATTTAAAGGACATTGGATTCAAGCATGTCCTACTAATGGTGATAGGTCATATGATAATATGAAAGTTAAAAAGACTACAGGAATTCCGAAAAGTTTTTTGCAAAAAGTAGACACAGTACCACCAGGGAAAGGTGTATTAGTCACTCAGGATGGAAATCTAGTAATTGCACAAGCAAATGAGTATGTATTTACTATTATTTCAATGTTTATTATTCCTTAAAATATAAATAAATAAATGTTGGTTAAATTATTGCATCAAATCAATTAATTTGTTTATTTAAATCATTAAGTGCTGCATGGGAAAAATTTCATGCTCGTCAGAAATCATACGTAACGTCCAACGAAGTTCTCGAAGAAATTCCGATACCTGATGAACTCAAGTGTATGATATGTAATGGACTTCTTAGAGAAGCTGTTATAACACCCTGCTGTCAAGTTTTATTTTGTGATGAATGTATGTATTGTTGCTTTTTACTACAGCAACATTTTTTAGATTTATTTTATGAGAATAATAGACAGATTAGGTATCCTAGGCTAGTCATGCTCTTGTGGTTTGTTTATAGGTTATATTATTATGTTTGTGTCTTTTTTCATTTTATAATTTTTCAGTTGTTCAAGTTCTATTTATTGCACAATAAATTTATTCACAACTATTTCTTGAGTTTAGTGAATTTTAATTTTAAAAAAAAAACCTTTATTTCACTATGGATTTTTTTTTTTAAAATAATATATATATAATTTATATATTATGAAAAAGAATATTCTTCTTTTTTGGACCAAAATTCTTTTTAGCATAATATTTTTAGATAGTTCAACTTTCTTCTAACAACGTAATAATTCAAGAAAGAAATTGTTGATTTTCTATCATAGTTTGGGAGAATCCACCGTTGCTTTTAAGAATTGTTATGCTTAACCTTGTATCATCAGACTATGTATATTTATATACATATATATTACTTCAAGCGCAACTAATTTTAATTTGTTAGAAGCAGCTTTTGAGATTTACAAGGAGATGGCAAATAATACTTTATACAGCAACTTTTTTATTTTATCACTTACCTATACTAACCTATGACTTCTCTTTCAATTATTCTCTCGTGATTTTATTTCATACTATTTCGTTAATCAATTAATTCTTTTGATAATTAATTATTTATATATGTAAATATTATATTTGGTGTAATATATATATTAAATAGGTATTCGAAACAGGTTGATAAATCCTCCACACAAAGATGAACATTTCAAATGTCCAAACTGTAAAGAAGATTTAGTACCAGATGATTTATTACCCAATAAAGCTACCAGAGATGCTGTTGATAATCATTTAAGAGAATGGGCTAGACGCAGAAATGAAACAAATGCTTTTAAAAAGATTGATGATGACGACGACGACGATGATGATGATAAGAAATATGACGATAAAAATATAAGTGACGTTCCTTCAACTGAAGAAAATGCAAACATTAATCTTGTCCAGGTTGATAATGAAGAGACAGAAGAGACAGATCAAGTTGTGGAATCTCAAAAAACAAATATAACTAACTTGGTAAATTCTTATATGTTTTAAAATTTTTTTTTAACAATATCAATATTTATTGTTTTTATATATAAACTTTACTTAAAAAAAACTCAATTTCCTACATTTTTAAAAAGAATGATAAAACTGAATCATCTGAAAAACTACAAGATAATTCTAATGCTCAACAACCACAATCATCATTACACTCACCAACACAATCATCCACACACTCACCCACGCAATCTTTAATGCAATCATCATCACAAGTGTTACCACAATCGATCACACAATTAAATATACAATCACCTGCGCAATCACCTGCGCAATCTTCAATACAGCAAACACAACCAATTCCAATTCAAACTTCAACACATTCTACAATGCAACCAATTCCAACACAAACCTCAACACATTCTGCAACGCAACCAATCCCAACACAAACTTCTTCACATCCTTTAACACAACCAATTCCAATTCAGACTTCAACACATTCTGCACCACAACCAATTCCTACTCAAACCTCAACACTATTAGCACAACATTTACAAACTTCTCAACAGAGACATCAATTCCCGAATGTTAATGGTAAACAATTTGTACAAAACAATGCTACTGCATCACAAAACTTTGCAAATTTTGGTTTTTATGATTATGGATTTGGTTATGATCAAGCACAAGGTTATTGGTTCGACGAAGGTAATTTTAACTGAAAGAGATATCAATATATAAAATAAACAAAAGATCAACTAATCAATCATTCAATGATATACTTACCATTATAATTATGACCTTTTATTTTAGCTGGTTTTCCAATGAATATAAATTTGTTAAATGGGCCTGGGTTTTATGATCAAACTTTTTTCGATCCAACATTCTTTCCAGCTGAACCATTCCCAACACAACCACAATTTATGCCTCCATTTAGGCCACCGGTTTATGATGAATTTTGGGTACCCCCACAAGGAAATTTTACTCCATTTGGTGGAAATATGAGCGGTGGTGGCATGGTAGGTGCAACCGGACTTCCGGCATTCAGAGGTAATAATAATAACTTTCGTGGAGGATTTGGAGGGCGTGGTGGAGCATTTCAACCTCGAGGACGTGGTCGTGCAAGAGGAACAGGTTTTTTCCATGACAATACATTTTTTGGAAGTCGTGGCAATGCCGTTGATTATAGAAGAGAGCCAAGTGCAGCTTTAGGAACTTTAAGACGCGATATGTAAGTGGATGATTTTATTAAAGAATCCCTTTTTGTATTTCTCAAATTTTTTACTGTAATAATAATATTATTATTATTCAATGAATACAGACCTGAAAGATCAGATTATCGTGATGATGAACAAAAATATGATGATGAACAACAACAAATTATAGATGATTTTGGACGTGATATGGCACGAAAAAAGCCATTGTCATCACAACAACATACTCCTGAAAAAGAAATTGAAAATAGAGAAAAGCAATCACCACTGCATATCTCTGAATATGAAAGACATGATAGAGAGTTTTTACCAGAAGAAAACATCATCAATAATCGAGAGAGAGAAAGAGGTCGTAGCTCAAGTCCAAAAGGAAGTAAAGATGGATCACGTAAAAGCTTGAGTAGACGATCCTCACATTATCATCACCATGACGAACCACGCGATAGCCATTCTCCTTCAAGGCATGAGCGCATAATATACGAGGACCGACGAAAAGTTGCATCTTCATCTTCATCTTCATCAAATAGACATAAAAGACCTAGCCGTGATGTTTATTATGACAGAAAAGATGATAGAAGATATCCAGATGATCGTCGATATCCGGATGATAGTAGACGTTACTATGGTGGTTATCAAGCCTCGACCAGTGAGCGAGTTGACCAAGAAGAACATAAAATCTCACAAACTCCATCATCGGTTGCATCTTTACATGCAGAGAATGGTAAGACAGGACACCACGACTCTTATCATGGTTATGATGTAGCAATACATGAAGATATGAGTCGCAATACATCTATTAATGATGAACAAATTTCAAAAGGCTATAGCCGCCAATCGAGATCACAATCTCCTAAAATGATTCAGAATAATGAAGCATTTGGTAATAATATGGATGATGGAGAGGAAGAGGATGACGAGAATGCTGATATTATTGATGTTGAAGATACCGCATTATTTGAAGAATTAGAAGACAGACCAACAACGCCACCATCACCTGATAGATATCAAGGCTCATCGCTTGGAAGAAGACGTCATTCTTCTTCATCCCATAAACACAGAAGTAATAAATATCCCAAAACCCATAGATATGATGATTCACCAGATAGAAAAGATTATGAAAGATCGACACATACTAAGCATCATAGGCCTTCTTCTAGAGATAATAGAGATGAGCCTTATCATAGAAGAAGCCACAAAGAAAAAAGGCATTATTCTTCCTCGTCATCTGGACGCCATAGTCACCGTAGATATCGGGACTAATTGATTGATTGATGTGTGTATATAACATAATTTAATATATATATATTTGGATTTTAAAAAAAATTTGGACTTTTTAATATAGCAATTTAATTATTTTATCAACCATTCATTCACATTAATAAAAAATTATTTACTACAAATTATTTTTTTTAATAATTGTTGTCGAAAAATTTACAACCATACTAGTAGATGTTTAATCATTTAATATTAATATAATTATTGGAATTATAAATCATATCAATTAGCGTATTTTTTAAATTTGTAACCAAAAATTAATTTCCGAGTTCAGTCTAGATTCGATAAAATAGGAATAAATAACTAGTGCTGCTTATAACAATTTCTTAACAATCAAAATGTACATATTATTATATATACGTTCACTTATCTTTTCTTTTGATACTATAAGACCCGACTGCATTTACTTGAGCTGATTTATTATTAATTAAATGAAAATTTCATTCATTGTATTTATTTCAGTAATCTGTATACCATATATTGCCATGAATAAGCAACCTCCTTGAAGGGACTGACCGTTGAAACAAGATGATGATGATAATTATTGACATGTTCGACAAATTATATATATATACACATGTAAACTATACAGTAAAATTTACAAAATTAAGGGTAGAGACCTCCTTATAAATGATTTTCATCATAGAAAATGTCCACAAAATTTAATGATCTGCACTACATTTCAATACAACATTTATAGTAAATAGCAAAATTATTAATAAAAATATTTATTTTTGTCGAGAACAAAATAACGTTTCCCAATTTTCTTGCATTATCACTGCAGTAGCACCTTCGATTGAAAGATCCACCTGTATATTAGGTAGATTCGATGGCTTAACACATTATGCACTGTATTAAGATTATTTTTCATATTTAATATACTATAATCAGATGGTAACTTGGAGTTAATGAATAAATATGCGGAGATTGTATTTTTTATATTTAATTTACACAATATCATTACTTATTACATACTGATATTGTTGTTATTATTATATTCTTAGATAATTTAATTTGAACAAAAATCAAACAAAAATATTGGAGTTGATGAATAAATATGTGACAAGATTGTATTTTTTATATTTAATTGTTTTATTAAATCATTTTTTCATGATATTATTATTAATTGCATATTGATGATTTAATTTAGTCAAAAGTTGATACTTGGAGTTATAGCAAGATTATATTTTATTGTTTTTTTATTACATACTATCTTGTGATATTTTTAGATGATTCAATATATACAAAATCAAGCTTCAATTATAGAGCTGGCAGATAAATATGAGGTGAAGACTACAATCTTATATTTGATTATTAATCGTTTTACACATCATACTATACATGAAGTTAATGGTTGAAATTATGTCATATCACATGAGAACCAGTGATCCAACTTTAATGAACACGGCTTATTAGAATAGTATCATAAAGGTGATAAATTTTTCTAAGAAGAATTATTAGTTTGCATGTATTGTATCCACTGTGGAATCCTAAAATAAATAAATAAAAATATTAACAAAATATTATACATTTATTTGCTTATTATTATATTAATTATTACTAAAACATATGTATAAAATAAAAACTAGGGAATTAAATCTCATTT